CTTTATCTCTTGCTACTTCAGCCCAATGTCAATGAGTTATAGTCTGAGTTATATTCTCTTATTCAGGCTTGTACTTTACTGATGGGTAAAACCTCAAACATTTATACTGATCATTGGTATGCCTTTGGGGTAGCACGTGACTTTGGAATATAATGGAAACAAGATGTCCTTTTATCACCAATGGGAATACTGTTAAAGATGGCTCCTATGTCCAAAACTGATTAAATGCCACACTTTTGCCAGCTGCTCTGACTCTTATGAAGGTTCCTGGGCCCTCCAGGCTCGACTTGTTGCGGACCAAAGTAATCCATCCTGATATTTCCATCATCAAAATGCAAATGCTGCTTTCTAGGAGACCAATAACCAAACCCCTGTTATAGTCTAAAGAGATGGTCTCTCAAATGATAATTTTGAGACATAGACAAAAAATACCCAACAATTGGCCCCAGAGAGGAAAAAACAGTTTTGGAAATGTATCAATGTAGGTTCAATAAGAAGAGAGAGAACGCTGGTTGGGACCAATTAATAATTGGCCCTACTAGAAATTCTAAAATTTCCAGTACTTACAACTGTACATGCAGTAAACTACTGGTCTACTGACAAAATGATAACATTGTGAATGAGCATTTGTGGCAAAAAGTTCATTAGAGCCATAGAAAGTACCTCTCTCACTTGCCCCACGTGTCCAAAGTATAACCCAGAGAAACCCGTTCATATAAATGGATGTCATACAGCTTCCCCATCTCATGGACACATGTGTTTTAGTTATGGTTCATATGCTTTCTCACTGGACCCAAGCTTTCTCTTGTAGACAAGCCCCTGCTTCCTCTGTTAGAAGAGATTATCACAGGGTGCCTGGCGGGCTCAGTTGGACCAGCATGTGAATCTTGATCTTGGGGCTGTAAGTTTGAGCCCCACATTGGGGGAATAGGTTTCTTAAAAAATAAAATCTTAAAAAAAAAAAGGAAAGAAAAAGATTATCACTACCTGGGGAGCCCCTCTCAAACTTCACAGTGATCAGGGAATCCATCTTACCCGTTGGGTGCTTCAACAAGGACTAACAGACTATGACGACTCACAGGGAAAAATTTGCAGAAACCTTCCAAACACTTTGACCTCAAGCATTGCTGCCGGTCCTCTGAAACTCAGATCCACTCCCCACCCTCCCCCGCCATGGCAACTCATACTCTCTCCCTAGGAGATAATCACAGGACATTCCAAACACTTGGCCTCTGCCTCCTTTGACCCACAGTCGATAAAAGGAGATATATTTCAATAGTGTAAAGGTCTAATTGCTTCTACTAAAAATGATCATGCTGGGGTGCCCGGTGGCTCCGTTGGTTGAGTATTCAACTCTTGATTTCAGCTCAGGTCATGATCTCATGGTTCTTGGAATCGTGCCCTGCATAGGGCTCTGAGCTGACAGTGTGGAGCCTGCTTGGGATTCTCTCTCTCTCTCCATCTCTCTGCCCCTCCCCTGCTCACTCGCTCTCTCAAAATAAATAAATAAACTTTAAAAAAATGATCATGCTTTGGTAATTTTCTCACAGTGCGCTCCCCAGAGACGATGACCTTAGGCATCACACCTGGAACCTAGAGACTTCATCTGCTGGAAGAGACACTTCCGGAAAGATTCATCAACCTCGCTGGAAAGGCCCATATCGGAGACTGCAGATCAACCCTGATGCTGCCGAACTCCAGGGAATAGACTCTTGAATTCATGCAATCCATCTGGAGAAAGCACCAAGCCCTGACGAGCCCTGCACACCATCTGGTGACCTGAAAGCAAAGATTTTGCAGAATTGAAGCAGATAACATCCAACAAGACCGCTTTGCCAAGATGTCCAGACCAGGTTTGAATGCCTTTGTCTCACTGCTACTTCTTCTCTATTTTCCATGGAATGACAATGCCCTTTCTCTGAATTTCTCAAGCCTTTGCAAAAGGGGGAAACCTCTTCTTTTCATTAGGGTCTTTTAGAAACAGCCTCATCATGATCCTAGGACAAACTAATTCTTCCCTTGCTTTTTCTAAAGGTATAGAAGGTTCAGAATTCATAAACATCCTTCTCTCATCAAACTGTTAACTGACAAGGGACACCTGGGTGACCCTGTCGGTTGAGTGTCTGCTTTTGATTTCAGCTCAGTTCACAATCCCAGGGTCATAGGATCCAGCCCCAAGTTGGGTTCTGCATAGGCATGGAGCCTGCTTGGGACTCTCTCGCTCCCTCGCTTTCTGCCCCTCCCCACCTCACATTCTCTCTCTCTCTCAAAATAAATAAATAAACTGGGACACCTGAGTGGGTTCAGTCACTTGGGCATCTGACTTGGCTCAGGTCTTGATCTCCTGGTGGGTGAGTTCGAACCCCACGTAGGGCTCTGTGCTGACAGCTCAGAGCCTGGAGGCTGCTTCTGATTTCTGTGTTTCCCTCTCTCTCTGCCCCTCCCCTGCTCACACTCTGTCTCTCTCTCTCTCTCTCTCTCTCTCTCACTCAAAAATGAATAAAACATTAAAAAAAAAGTTGTCATCACAAGAAAAAAATTTAAGAGAAAAAATAAATTTTTAAATATAAATAAATAAACAAGTAAAATAAGTAAAAATAAACACCAACTATTAACTGACATCGGATTCTTATCCAAATCCATGGTCTCTGAATTTACAACTTTACAGACTGTATTATTTCTTAACATTTGTTTTCAAAACAGTCCTTTTGAGATAACTACTTATTTATTTTTTAAGTTTTTATTTATTTTATTTTGAGAGAGAGAGGGAAAAAGAGAGAGGGAGAGAGATGGAATCCCAAGCAGGCTCCCCAACCATCAGTGTGGAGCCCAATGGGGGCTCAAACCCATGAACCATGAGATCATGTCCTGAGCTGCAACCAAAAGTCAGATGCTTAACTGACTGAACCACCCAGGTGCCCCTCCCTCTCTTATTTTTAAAGATTTTACTTTTAAGTGATCTCTACATGCAGCATGGGGCTTGAACTAACAACCCTGAGATCAAGAGTCTCACGCTCCACTGACCAAGCCAGCCAGGTGCCCAAGATAACTATATATATATATATTTTTTAAGTCTTTGAAGTGTTGTTGCTTTGCAAACAGTTCATCAGCTATTGCTTCGTGTTGATACCTGCACTGTATCTTCCCAATGCACTTGATTCATCATTCTCGTGTGCTCTTGCAGTGTTTACTATTCTGCTTTCATGGCTGCTTTAAGCAGGAACTTTCAGGAGACATACATGAGTCTAGGTCTGACTTCATAGGGAGAAATTTTTCTTCCCTAAGTTGGAATAAGTGCCAATAAACGTTTTCAGCTGGCTACCTTCAGACCTAAGGTCCTGACTTAGAACAAACGTACAGGTTGGAATTGTCATGTTACTTTTGATTCTGTACTTGTTGCCTATCGATCTTTCATAAAAAAAAAAAAAAAAGGACCCAATAAGATTATGCCAGCTCAACACTTTAAGATGATCTCCAACACTGATAACCTTAAGAAGATAGACTTGAGGTGGAAAGTGCCTGAGAGGTCTCTCTCCTTACCCTCCTTGATATGCCAATGTGGCCTTAAGTGGTTTCCAAATACCATTCGCTTTCCTTCCAAAGTGGGACATGACAACCAGAAAATGTCCTTCCAGGGACTCAGGGACAAAACCACTATACACAAAATACCTAATTCTTGATCAGTGATGTTTTCAAGGAAAGATCTTGATCAAAAGAAGGAAAAGTGAAAGTTAATGAAAGGAAATCTCACTAAAGTAGACTTGGGAGCTAGAAAGGGAGGGGAGCCTATCACCCATGTCAATTACAGGAAGAATGGTCAATTCCAGTCCCCAGCAGAAGAATCTCAACAGGACAGAATGATAAATTATGGACCTCAACAGGGAAAGATGCACATATTGCATCTCCTGTAAGAAATCCACCACCCCAGCAACTCAGCCGATGAGAGCACCATCATTATCCTGAACTCTTGTAACCTCTCCAACTTCCTCCTTCTTCTCCATAAAGTAATGCCCCCTCCTTTGTTTGTTTGACTTGCTTACAGTTCTGCTGAAGCTTGCTTGTCCTGGATTGCAATTCTCTGCTATTCTCGAATAAACCCATGTTTTGCAGGTAAAATAACTGGCGGTTTTATTTTTAGGCTTAATAGGAGCGAAGGCATTGTAAGTAACATCTCTGACTTCCCACTTCTGCCTGGATCAAACCTTTCACTACTATTTCATGTAGGTGGATCACAGCACCGACTCAGGCACAGAGGGAGAAGAACAAGGCTGTGCAGGAGGAGCGGAATCAATGAGCAGGAGGGACTTCTGAGAGGCTAGAGCAGCTCCGCTACAAGTATCCAGGAGCTAAGGGAGGGGTAGTGGGGCTGGGAAGTGCATTTGAGTTCAGCACTGGTTTGGGGCATCTCCTCGGTGTCTCCGGGGAGAGGCGGATTTCTGGCTTCTGAGCGCAGACCTCCAGGGCCTGGATCAAGCCCGGATTGTGCGCCTGCGAGCCTCAGAGGCCAGAGGGACCTAGGAGCAGGTGTGCAGCTCCGGGAGCAGCCGCCCACTCCGGAAAACAGCCCCAGCCCCGCCCACTGGGCCCTTCCAGGCCCCTTGGATCCCGGCCAGGTGGTAGAGACCCCCTGCCCCACGCCGCCTGTGCGAATGGCACCGAAAATGTGGGGAGTCGGGGAGTGTCAAGCAGATTGTGATTTGTACCGCAACCACTGCCAGCCCCGGAGAATTGGCTTGGGAACCGTGGGCGTTGAAGAGCGAGGGGCGGGGTCGCAGGCCCCGGCCCCGCCCTCTCTTGGCACCCCCCACCCCCCCTACCCCGCGCGGTGCGCCACTCCCCGCCAAGTCCTTCCTCCCAGGGTGCTTGGGGAAGGTGGGAAGAGGGGCCACGTCACAGTCTCCAGGCCGGGGGAACCGCGGCTCCGCCCCTCCCACCCCCGCCGGAGCGCTGGGCACGCATCTAAGACTCACCGGCCCCAGCCCAGGGCCAGCCCAGTCGCAGCCGCCCGCCCACAAAGCCACAGGCAGGTGCAGGCGCTGCTTAGGCGCGAGCCGGCTGAGTCGAGCCGTTAGCGCGCGCAGTCCGTCCGTCCGTGCGTCCAAACCGTCCGTGCGCCCGTTGAGGCATCCGTCCGTCTGCGCGCAGCAGCTCCCACCCAGGCCCGGCGGCCACGGTCCGTCGTCTTCCCGCACCCTGAGCCGCCGGGCAGAGCCGGCTTTGGCGCGGCAGCCATGTCCATGGGCCTGGAGATCACGGGCACCTCGCTGGCCGTGGTGGGCTGGCTGAGCACCATCGTGTGCTGCGCGCTGCCCATGTGGCGCGTGACGGCCTTCATCGGCAGCAGCATCATCACGGCACAGATCACCTGGGAGGGCCTGTGGATGAACTGCGTGGTGCAGAGCACCGGCCAGATGCAGTGCAAGGTGTACGACTCGCTGCTGGCGCTGCCGCAGGACCTGCAGGCGGCCCGCGCTCTCATCGTCGTTTCCATCCTGCTGGCCGCCTTCGGGCTCCTCGTGGCGCTGGTGGGCGCCCAGTGCACCAACTGCGTGCAGGACGACACGGCCAAGGCCAAGATCACCATCGTGGCGGGGGTGCTCTTCCTGCTGGCCGCCTTGCTCACCCTGGTGCCGGTGTCCTGGTCGGCCAACACCATCATCCGGGAATTCTACAACCCCCTGGTGCCGGAGCCGCAGAAGCGGGAGATGGGCGCGGGCCTGTACGTGGGCTGGGCGGCCGCGGCTCTGCAGCTGCTGGGGGGGGCGCTGCTCTGCTGCTCCTGCCCGCCGCGCGAGAAGAAGTACGCGCCCACCAAGATCCTCTACTCGGCGCCCCGCTCCGCCGGCCCGGGCACTAGCACAGCCTACGACCGCAAGGACTACGTCTGAGGGGCAGCGGCGGGGAGACCCCACCACCCCACGAGTTAGAGCGCCCACCAGGCCAGCGTGCAGCCTCTCGTCGGAGACCAGCCCCGCCCCCAGCCCCAAGTGCCAGGAGCTCTCGCACTGGACCGGGAGGGACCAACCCCGCGGCCCCTTCCTCGGCCGCACACCCCCACCCCCTTTGCCCGGGAGCGCGCTGGGGACCAGCTCACAGGGACAGGGAAACCTCAGCCCCTCCGGAGAACGCGGCTGGGTGGCCGCCGCTACTTGCCCACCCCGTCGGGCCTCAGCCCCAAAGCCTGCGTTGGGCAGGGACCGGCACTCTGGAAAAGGGCCAGTTGATATTTTTCAATAAAAGTCTTTGGTTTTGCAGTTACGGGCGCCTCCTTGTCCTGAGCGCCGACAGGCCTCTACCTCCCTACGGAACACCCCCCCCCCTCGCCCCCACCCCCAACCCCGCCCCGCTGGGGTTGGACTCGGCTGGGTTCTGCTCTCTCACTACCTACCTTCCCTTCTAGGAATGAAGCTTAGAGAGGGCAGAGATTGGGGTAACCGAGAAAGTGTGGTTCAAAACTGAACTGGGTGTGCCCTAGTAGCCGTTTGGCCTACTCACTGGGGATTCAGAGTTGAAGGCCCAAACTAGAGAGGCATGAACACTTCCAGCCTGCTCCGTGGAGGGAGGCATGGGGGAGGTGGGAGAAGGGGACCCCGGGGCCTCCTCTCCAGCCTCGGCCATCTGGGTTTGCGCTTGGAGTATCGTCCTCGCTGCTGCGGCTGCGCACCTAATCTTCCCTGTCCGTGTGAAAGAGCACATTCAGTGCTATGATTTCATATTTGGAAGAGGGGAACAAAAAGCCCTATTGTTTTGGCAAAACAGCATCAGAAGTAAAACTGGGCGGCACCTTCTCACCTGGAGGAGAGATGAGAGAGGGGCCTCGTTTTCTTCCTAGGGACCCCCAAGGGGGAGGCCGAAGGACCCTGAGGTGACGCTCTAGGGCTTGAGTTTAACCAGGCTTGGAAGCACTCCGGGAGAAGGTGCAGGAGAGTCAGGTAGTAGGAAAGGGCGCCTGTGCCTCAAACCAGGAGAGAGGGATCCCCCTAGGGCCCGCGGCATAGCAAAGTGTGAGGGGAGTGTGGTGAGGCCCAGGGGCCAGGAGGAGGCCAAGTCAGGAGTCTCAGAGGCCTAATTACAGACTTTGGTCTCTGGAGTTTTGGGAGCCACGGAAGGACCCACCTGGTCAGATTTGTGCTCCAAAATACTGGCTCCAGGAGCGCCTGGGGGAGTGGGATTTCAGGAGGGAGAGGGGGGCGGGGATACCGTCTAAGAGGCTTCGCAGCCCTCCCTAGAGAGATAGGGTGGCCAGAAAGAAGGCAGGGACAGTGGGGTGGGGAGCAGGGCCTGATGGGGGCTGGAAGGAAGTGAGATGAAGGCTAGAGAAGCCTCTGGATACGTAGGGTGAGGGAGCCAGAAAAAGCAGGATAACCCCAATTTTCTGCCCTAGGTCATTGTTGGGAGGGTGATGCCATTTACCAAAACGGGAGACCAGGTTGCTGGGGAAAGATGACGGGTTCAATTTTGAGTGCACCGAGTTTGGCAAGCCTGTGGGGCCTCCTGGCAGAGACGTCCAGGAAGTGGCAGGGCACATATAAAGAACTGAGACTCGGGAGTGGCCAAAGCTGGCTCTTGTTAGCATACAGATGGCACCCGAAACCAGGGTGCTCGAGGTTGCACCAGTGGGTCAAGACGAGGCTCGAGGAGTAGCCGTGGGGTTCAAAGCAGCAAGGTGGTCCCCGGTGGCCTTGCCAAGAGGTGGGCCGGCAGACGCAGGGGGCAGAAAAGCCCATGGGAGATGAGAAGTAAAATCAGAACATCTGGGCCACGGGTCCAAGAGCTTTGCTTATAAAGGGAGTCTAGGCCAAGTTAGCAAGTTGACGGGGAGCCAGGGTCAAGGGACAGGTATATGGGACAGAAGAGAATGATTTCCGAGTTATTGTATCTCAAACTTCTCCACCTGCAGCAAGCTTAAGCAGAAGGTCCTAGTGGCCCCTGGGACCGTTTTCAGTAGGATACCCCACCAGCTCCCCCTGAATTCTCCAGTTAGGGAATACAGACATGCAGTCACCCTTTATGACCCAAGGAAGAGGAAGCAGGTTACGATGAATAGTTGGGACACCCCGGCTTTAGGTCATTCTTTGTAAGATTCCAGAAAGGATGAGGAGTTCGGGGGGTGCTTCTGGGAACCACTCTTCTAGCCTGAGGGGGAGTAAAGGTGAGGGAGGAATGAAAGGGAGAGACTGACCCTTGGAGATCCTAAGGAGAGCTGGACCGGAAGTGAGCTCAGGAAAAGGGGGAGGGCAGAGTGGGCAGGCCTCCGTGGGGGAAGGGGTCCAAAGAGAAGGAGGGAGCTCAGTGAAGGGGAGAGGTTCAATGGGGAAGGGTCCCAGTGGGCCCATTGTCCCAGAGAGCCCTGCAGATAGGAGTGAGGTTATTCATTTACCACCAACTTCGAGAAGGCAGCCAGAGGGCAGTGCCTCCTGGCCACACTAGGGCAGAGCTGCAGCCTGGGGCCCAGGGGCCCTCCCCCTCCCCGCTGGGTGCCTCTGAGCCAGAAGGATGTGGCAGAGAAGGGAAACAGACCCTTGGGTGAGGGGCCCTCAGCTCCTCCCCTGGCTCCCTGGTATCTTCCCCAGTCTGTGCTCCCTGGAGCCTCCTGGGGGCAGTGAGGTCCCCTACCCCATCCAATGCTCCCCTCAACGCTTCTGTGCACACGTGCGCACACACACACACACACCCTTGCCTCGCTCCAGGGCCTGTCCTAACTCCACCTGCTCCTATGCTGTTTGGGGTCTAGGGTCTGTACACGGGCATCAGGAAAACTTCAGCAGCCTGGAGGAGAGGCAGGCATTTGATGTGAAGAACACCCTGGACCGAGACAGAGTCCAGTTTCTAGATCCGCTCCTTTTCTCCGTGTGCCTCTGAGCACTTCCCTTCCCCTTCTGAGACCAGAAATGAACCTGCCATTTCAACAAGGGAGTTGAACCAGGTGACCCATGAGGGCCCTTCTAACATGTCTTTTCTGTCCCCGTTTTTATCCTTATCACTGCCTGCAGGAGAAAATTAGGACCAAACCGACCGGGTAAGCCAGGCAGTTCACTCCTCTGAGCCTCAGCTTCCTCATCTGCAAAATGGGTATGATAATAGGACCAGGCAGTGTTAGGATTGGCTGAGCCATCTTCTGAGTTCCCATTCAGCCTATTCTCACATCATTACAGCACTATGTTATTTTGTTTCTTTCTCTCTCTTTTTTAATGTTTATTTACTTTTGAGAGAGCGAACACAAGTGGAGGAGGGGCAGAGAGAGAGGGAGACAGAGGATCTGAAGCAGGCCCCGTGCTGACAGCAGAGAGCCCAGTGTGGGGCTTGAACCCACAAACCATGACTTCATGACCTGAGCCAAAGTCATACGCTTTTTTTAAAAACATTTATTCCTTTTTGAGAGACAGAGCATGAGTGGAGGAGGGTCAGAGAGAGAGGGAGACACAGAATCTGAAATAGGCTCCAGGTTCTGAGCTGTCAGTACAGAGTCCGATGTGGGGCTCGAACCCACGAACTGCGAATTCATGACCTGAGCCAAAGTCGGACGTTTAACCGACTGAGCCACCCAGGCGCCCTGTTGTTTTGTCTCTTGTCAGACTTCCCATCACAAGGTCATCCCCCAAAGTCAGGGGCTCTGTCCCAAGTTTCTGTCCGTCTGAGGCACCCAGCGCAGCCCAGCGCCCATTTGTGAAAGGAAGGCATGACTGTGTGCCTTCAGAAGGACCCCAATTAATGTGAGCTAGTATTAATGTTAATGTTTTGGTTTATTCGGCCAAGAGGAGCCTGGGCACCTGAGGGTAATGGCTGGGTCATGAGAAAGTCCTGGGTTTCTTCAAAATCCACAACCCCGGACACCCCCTGCCAGGCCCTGGGGCTCTGTCCCATTCCACCTCCCACCGTTGTGCCTCGGGCTGCCCCGGGCTTGCCACACCTGTTCCAGCTCTTCCTCCTGCCCAGACCAAAAGCCAAGTGCTTTATCAAACAAACACAGCATTTATTGTGGCTCCCTCAAGGTCTGCGGCAGGCCTGGAAGAACAGAGAGTACCTTCCTTCTCCCCCCACCCTCCCCAGCGCTCCATTCAAGGTCGTCTGAGCCAAGACAGGTATGTTCTGCAGAGCAGGTAAAGGGAGAGAGAGTACCGGCTGTCGCGCGCTCGCTGACGGACCTTGGGCAAGTCACTCGCCACCTGTCGCTCATCTGTAAAAGAGCTGATACTGTCCCTGCTCACTTGATCCCCAAAAGAACCCCGCAGGGTAGGCATTACAAAATGAGGCCACCAAGGCTCACAAGCTGATGGCCCTCCTCCCCATGACCGGTCCCTCGCCTGTCAACCTCTTCATTATTTCTAGATGTGTCCACCTGTCTTCTTTCCCACTTGCTGCCATGACTTCAACCAGGCCACCACCATCTTTCAGTAACAGCCCCAAGAAGGGCCACCTGCCCCCAGGCTCCCTTTCCAACCCGGCTGTGCCCCTCTCCAAGCCACTCACCTCAAAATAGCCAGGTGACAGTTCATGTGACAAAGTCCTCGGCCTGCCCACATCACCTGCTTACTTAACATCCTTCCATCTACTACCCCCATATGGATCCCACCCGGACCCATGCGCCATGATTGCCTCCATATTGCCTCAAGCCCTCCCTGCCCCAACCACCAAGCCCCAACCCCTCTGGACAGCCTTCGTTTCTTCACAAACCCTGCCCTCCCCGGGCCGTGAGCCTCACCACAAGCTGTCCTCTGTCCTGGCTGTGTCCCCAGTCTCGCCTCAGCCCTGTGGACAGCTTAGAGGTCACTTCATGTCTTAGCTGAAGGAAGCCTCCCTGACAGCCAGCCTGCTCCTACAGAGTCCTGTCCATCCATGAGGACACCCATGGCATTTGTCATTCTGTGCCCAAATCGCTTCCCCCCTTTTAAACAATCCCACAGTCACCTAGTAAGAACATAAGCATAATCAAAACAATATGAACAAATAGTTCAGAACTATACTCCCAACAAAGGACACCTAAAAAAAAAATGCATTGTCTTCTCCACAATTTCTCCCTTCATTGACCATTTCTAGTTGAAGACACTTTGGAGCAGAGTAATATGGTCCCCTTTTAGCATGATTCAACCCAGTTGTTTTCCATGCTTTGTTTTAGAATGAATCTCTTCTGCATCATCTAACACGGGGTGCAGGGACTCATCAAAACCAATGATATAGCCCTTTGTCCACAAGCTCACATGCTCATAAAGCCACAGCCGAATCTGAGGTCTAGCTGCAAGTATCTGAAGATGAG